GGGATCATGACCTGAGCCCAAGGCAGACGCTTAACGACTGAGCCACCCAGGCGCCCCTCCCCTCCAAGCTCCTCCCACCCCCCAAAATTCTTATGTCGAAGTCCTAACCCCCAGTACCTCAAAATGTGCCTGTATTTGGAGACACGCTCTTTAAAGAGGTCACTAAGTTAAAATGAAGTAAGGTGGGCCCTAAACCAATATGACCAGGGGTCCTTATAAGAAAAGGAGATTAAGACATAGACCCCCACAGAAGGAAGATTGTGTGAGGACACAGTCAGAAGAAGTCCATCTACAAGCCAAGGAGATACCACAGAAGGAACAACCCTGTTGACACCTTGATCTTGGATTTCTAGCCTCTGGAATTACGAGAAAATAAATTTCTGTTCAAGCTACCCAATCTGTGGTCCTTTGTGACAGCAGTCCTAGCGAGCTAACACAGTCACACAATAAAGATCTCGACAATTTTGTTTCAAATTTGGGTGTTTTACATTTTCATTTTAAGAATGACTTTTAAATATTTGGGGCAGTATCTTTTAATTTTTTAAATGATTTTTACTTGGCATTTACTGTAATAGCTTTAATGTTCCTTTCTTTCAATGTTTTCTATTATCAAATGTTTCTGTCGGCAGAGATTACTTAAAACATTACTGAAATATATAATCTCACAATGTACTGGTTCACAATGGTAATAAACCATGCATTTATTATGTTTCTTAAAAACAGAACATCTCTCTGTAACTTTGATTATAAACCTATCACAGGTCAACAATGCACTCACTGTTGTTTTAAAACACAGTGTCTTTAAATACACAGACTAGGGGCACCTCGGTGGCTCGGTCGGTTAAGCATCTGACTTCAGCTCAGGTCACGATCTCAGGGTCCTGGAATGGAGCCCTGAGTCAGGCTCCTCCCCCAGTGGAGAGTCTGCTTCTCCCTCTCCCTCTGCCCCTTCCCCTGCTCGTGCTCACACTCTCTCTTCCTCTCTCTCTCTCAAATAAGTAAATAAAATCTTTAATAAATAAATAAATATACAGACTAACTTGGAATTTCAGGAAATCTGGAGTATAACCAAGAATCTTCCTTTCTCGGGTGCCTGGGTGGCTCAGTTGGTTAAGCGACTGCCTTCGGCTCAGGTCATGGTCCTGGAGTCCCCGGATCGAGTCCCGCATCGGGCTCCCTGCTTGGCAGGGAGTCTGCTTCTCCCTCTGACCCTCCTCCCTCTCATGCTCTCT